TCAAACAAGGTAATCCATGGAGAACAGGAGTGGAGTGCTCAAGGAAGGCTTCAGGAGGTGGTGGCATTTGAGCTTAGTAAGAGGAACAGCAAAGAAGCTTCTAGAAGTGAAGGAGGTGAACCAAGATGGCCCCTGGTATGGCGGCTGGGAGGGCCTCGGTGGCCTGTGAGAGTGTGGGTCCTGCTGCTGCCTCATAAAGCCATTGCCCACGGCCGGAGGGATGCTGGGTCCCAGGGAGGTGGGTGTAGCTGATCATTAGCTCACCTGGCCCCTGTGTGTTCCAATCTTACCACCAGGGGGGGCACAAGGGTCAAAGTGGACCCTGAGCCCAAGTCAGAGAGTTTTTCCAGAACAGGATGCTCTGAGGGAAGGGAGGAAAAGTTTTCCCACTGCAGCGCCACAAAGCCTGGAAGGCCTGGCTGCCTCCAGTGGTCTGTGACTCAAGGGCTTACCCAGATTTTCCTCTTCCCATTAAAGCAAACCATGTATTTTCCATCCCTCCCTTTCCTGGTTGCCTGCAGCACTAACTGCCTGTAACAAACACATTTCGGCCAGAAGCTTATTGCACTGCAGGGACTTCTGACATCTCCTAATCCAAAATGCCCACTGTACAGAAGGAGACTGAGACCCAGAGAGAGAAAGTGGCATCCAAAATAAACCAAGAATAGAACTCAGATCTCACTCCAGATCCCATGTCCCTAAGATAAGAAGCCCCTGATTATCCGTGCTTTGGCACTTGTCTACAGGCTGCCCTAATTGTTTCTTGAGTGTAGACACAACGGCAATAGTAACAACAGGCAGGTTTCCTCGCACACTTCTGCGGCAGGTGCTGGGCTAGGGCCTCCAGGAGCATCATCTCGCAGTCACCCTGTGGGAAAGCAAAATACTTCAGCCCAAAATATATTTCTTTCACATATTTGTGAAATATGTGAAAGAAATTAGCCATGAGATGGCTAATTCGGGGAGACTGGAAAAAAATGGGATTAGCTAGAAGACTTTTTCGTGGAAAGAAATTTATATCTATAGAGAAAAATGTTTTTCTACCTCTCCCGCCCCCCCACCCCACCCCACCCCAAGTGCTACGCAAACAGCCAGGCTTCCTCTGAAGCCCGTCCTTCAGCCACCACCTATCCTTTCTGTGGACAGCTTCAAGGTTGCCTGACTTATTTCCTGCCTAACTTCTGCCTTCCTTCTTTCGCCTGTGCTGCCACCTTCCCCAGGGCTTGGAGAAACTGGTCCCAGGCCACTGTTCTTGGGCCAGTACCTCCCCCACCACCCCTCACTCCCTATGAAGACTGGTGCATAAGCTTCTGTACCCCGTGGACCACTGGAAAATTACTCTCCTGCAATGCTCTGTGCATTGCCCCTCACCAGCACGTTATAATAGAATTTGTTATGCATTTTCTTCATATTGATTGAATCCTGCCAGTTGATTTTTTTAAGTGAACCCTCAGAGGTAAAGAGAAAGTTGTCCCTTGGCCTCTGCAACTCTTACAAAGTTGTTTCTACTATAAGCTTAAATATTTACAGAACTCCTCCCACCAGTGATTGTTAACTCGGGGTGGGGGTGGTACAAAGAGATAAAAATCTTTTTTCCCTTAGACCTGTTCTCCCAAGATAGGTGGACTCTGGTTGAGAACAGCTTAATGGGACACTTTGTTTTTCTGCACACACAGCCCACCCCACCCACCCCCGAGCTTCACACCCGGCTGTGCGGGAAGCACCCTCGGCGAACACTGGATTGAGCATTACCAAACCCCTCTGCTAGGCCCCTCTTGGCGTTAGGCTCACTCTAGGCTCTGCTCCTCCTCCCTCCCCATCTCCCGCTGTTGGTGGCTTCTCCAGTGCAGCCACCTGCCTGTGGTTTCATGCTTCTCGGCCTTCGTGCATACAGATCTCTCTGCCTGGAATCCCTCCTCTGCCCTGTCCACTGAACCCACCTTCTAGACTCAGCTGCTGCAGGATCCCCTGCTCTGAGAAGCCGCCCCCAATTCGGGCCAGCTGGGGACATGACATGCCCTGCGCCCCTACTTGTTCCTAAACTGTGTCTCCCCCAAGCAAAGACTCCATATACTTGTACTCGTCTACTAACGGGTCTCCCTGCCCTACACTGAGATTCCTCCGTGCTCCTATCCAGGGATAAAGGTTGTTTCATGTCAGTACCTTCAGCACTTGGCACAGTTTGTTGACACACAGTAAGCTCTCAAGAAACATTAGAAGGACAAATGAATGAAGTCCTCCAAAACCTGTCTTCTGATGCTGACTCTGATCTCCCCCTTCCTCTCCTCCTGTGCCTCCTCATCAGGTTTTGCCCTGCCCTCTCCAGCCTCCATCCCATTGCCCTGCCTTCATTCACTTCTCTTTGTCTCTCACCTGAAATATTCGACTGCTGCCTCCTAACAGATCTCCACCTGGTCCTCAGCTCACCTTTCATCTCCCAGTGCTCCCCCTGCATTACCCAGCTCAACCTCCCTGAGTACAAAACATCTCACTTTTCCCTCCAGTTCCCCAAAGCTCTGAGCCAAGGACTGGGGATACAAACTATGGTTCTTATCCCCAAGGAGCTCACTGCCTGCCCCTCCTGCCCTTCCCTACCCAGCTTCCTAAAATATAGGCAGGAATCCAGCCATAACACACAGCTGATCGAACCATCCTCCTGCTTGAACGCTGTGGTGGCCCCTCACGCTCAGAGTGCAAAGCCCAGGACCACAAGGCTCTTTCTCGCCTCCCTGTCCACCTTCACCTCCCCGGACTGTGAGCTCCAACCCAGACCCCAGGCAATCCCAGCATTCTGCCTTGATGGCATCTTGCCCTGTGGTTCTCAGTATTGCTTCCCAGTCTGGGTCAGAGGCCCCTCCTCTGAGCTCCCTTGTCCCCCGAGACCACCTCTGCAACTCCACATATCACGCTCATCCCAGCGTGTGACTGCCTGTCCCTCTCCCCCCTGGACGCTGGACTTCTGGAGGACAGAAACAGGATCTAATCCATTTTTTTTCCAGCTCCTGCCCCTAACGAAATACAAGTACCCTCATAAAGTAGATACTGAAAAAATGTTTTTGAATGAATAAACCAATGAATCAATCAAGAAGTCTAATGATAATAAACAGCTTTGATGTGCTAACAGTGGCTGTTTCTGGTGAATGAAATTTTGAGTTAAGTTCTTTTTGCTTCTCAGTATTTTCTGAAGTTTCTGGAATGAGTATGTTTTGCTTTCATAACAATAAAGAACACTAAAGGAAACTTCATTTTGAAAAAAATATAAAGGGGTTTGGGGGCTCCAAAAGAAGGGGAATCTCATCCAGTCCTGAAAATCAGGAAAAGAGTGTTTAAGGAGCCAGAGAATTTCCACCAGTGAAGTGGGGAGAGCTGGCCGGCCAGCCGGGGGCACAGACCGAGTACAGAGCTGGGCTACGTGAACGCAGAGCAGGGGTGGGGCCCCACGTCTGGCAGAAAGTCACAGGAGTGTTCTGCACAGGGCCTTGCATGCATGATGAGGAATTTCGACTTAGGTCACTGAATGCGGGGAGCGACAGAAAGTTTTATTGTCGTTGTTATTTTACAGCTTTAAAATATTTTATTTTAAAATATGGAAGGCGTCACGAATTTGCGTGTCACCCTTGCGCAGGAGCCATGCCACCCTTCTCTGCATTGTTCCAAGTGTTCCTGTACGTGCTGCCCAAGCGAGCTCTACAGAAAGTTTCTGGGCCAAGCAGAAAACGCTCAGAGCGCTCAGTGCTCAGCGTCCGGAGCACGTGAGGCAGCCGCGGGCAAGTGCCAGGGCTCGCGCAGGACGGAGGGTGGGGTGGCTGGAGAACGGGAGCCCGGCTGCAAGCCCTCTGTTCCCCTCTGCAGCGTCGAACCCGGCAAGTGCAGGAAGCATCTGGACTGCCCAGCCCTGGGCCACGGCACTCGGAGGTCGGTATAAGACCATGAACGCCCTTGAGCCGCCCATCTGTCCTCCCACCTGGACTGCGAGCTCCTAATTCCTCCTGCCCACAGGATGTGCCTGAGGAGAGGACGTTCAGCGAGTGAAGGTTTGCGAGGAGACGCCCAGGGGGCAAATAAAGCCAGGCCACAGCACAGGAGCCCCATCCTGGCAGCCGGCCTTGGGTAAGGGCCTTCAGCGTAGACGCCCGGGCAGTAAGTAAAAGTAAAGGATCGGGCTGGACGCCCAGAATCAACAAGGGAGAACCGGAAGGGCCAGGCCTCCACATAACTGCGTGGGTGGCGGCAGGGAAAGACCCCAGGACGACGGGAAGGAAAGGGGCGGAAGGAGGAAGGCGGGGAGAGGACTGAGCGGGGAGGGAGAAGGGTCGCGGGCGGGGCGGCGGGAGGGGCTGCGGGGCTGCGGG